ACTACTACTCCTCCAACTACTACTCCTCCAACTACTACTCCTCCAACTACTACTCCTCCAACTACTACTCCTCCAACTACTACTCCTCCAACTACTACTCCTCCAACTACTACTCCTCCAACTACTTCTCCTCCAACTACTACTCCTCCAACTACTACTCCTCCAACTACTACTCCTCCGACTACTACTCCTCCAACTACTTCTCCTCCAACTACTCCTCCTCCAACTACTCCTCCTCCAACTACTACTCTTCCAACTACTACTCCTCCAACTACTACTCCTCCAACTACTACTCCTCCAACTACTACTCCGCCAACTACTACTCCGCCAACTACTACTCCGCCAACTACTACTCCTCCAACTACTTCTCCTCCAACTACTACTCCTCCAACTACTACTCCTCCAACTACTCCTCCTCCAACTACTACTCCTCCAACTACTACTCCTCCAACTACTACTCCTCCAACTACTCCTCCTCCAACTACTACTCCTCCAACTACTACTACTCCTCCAACTACTACTCCTCCAACTACTACTCCTCCAACTACTCCTCCTCCAACTACTACTCCTCCAACTACATTAAATCAATTCCTTCTGTAACGTCCTCAATAAATGTAATAGATTTGTAGTGTTGTAATTAGTTTAAAACTAATATTTAAATTATTTGAATTTTATTGGTGTATTTGAATGTGTTGTAACGAATTATCTACATTACATTACAGAAGCTATTGTTTAAACTGTAGTACATTGTAATGTAATTGTTAATCTTACGATTGTCTCCCCATCATCAGATCATCTCCAAAGGATACATAATAACATAAACCCGCCACGCAAAGGGTTTATATAACAGATCATCCCGCGCTAGCGGGATGATCTGATAAACACATACGAGTGCGCGCAGCGCACGAGTTTTGTGTTAATATGTAATCCCGAAGCGCCAGCTGAGGGATTACATTTATTTAGCCCTGAGCGTGAAGTGTTTATGGATTATAATTATCTCCGGCGATTTCGACAAGGGATTTATACTTTAGAAGAGATTGGAAAGCAGTTCATCAATCTGAATGTCAAACCGATCTGTCATAGTGGAGCAATAGCTTGAACGTTAGCAGGAACAAGAGCTGGAAGGAGAGCAAGCAAAACAATACTATATTTAGGGCACGGACAAGGGTAGCTGGCTAGTCGCCAACTTCTCACGCCACGCGTTGGAGAAATTCCAAGAATTAGCTGCTTTGGCAACGTTCCCAGGAATTTGCGTGTAAAAGAAGTGGACGGTTACGATGTTTCATATCACGTGGTGCGCTTTCGTGTCACGTGGTATAGACTCGGCGTATGCTATTGGTGGCACGTGGTACGCACGTGACGCGCCCACGTGATCGCGCGTCTAACTGTTCTACTATTATCGAGTTCTAATCAGCAGTATCATTGATTATTGTAAGTCGGAGAATTGAATGATAAACATCAGTTACGACTAAAAAGCGGGCCGGGTTTATACAAATTTGCGGGGCGGGATGATATCACCTTGAGATGTTTATCTAACAGCGGGCCGGGCTGAGTGATAATATGATCCCGCGTCGAAATCCCGGAGATATTTATATTATGTTTAACTAATCTACCTTTTAACATGTACGAGGCCCCGGAGCCCTTGAGGGTACCTTTATACCCCTGACCAGGCCCTGAGGAATAGTCGCTTTGATGTTTTTATAAGTTGTCAACAAAGACCGTAAATTTTCTGCTTCCTTTGCTATTCTTAATTTAATACAAATATTGGATTGCTACAGTGAGTAGTTAGACACAGATTAAGATGCCAAAACTTAATCACATCCTACATTAATCTCAGTTTCAACTGCCCTAAACTTTGCAATTTTCTTTCTTGTAAGAGGAGTGAAATTTGCACGATGATTTGATGAACTTGGTTTTTAATAATACAATTATTTTTTTAGTCCATTTTTTACTAATGTTTGTAGCCATGTACCTATTAAATTCTTAGTGTCGACCTGGGTATTATCTTTGTTTAATCATGTTTTTAGAAATTAATAATTAAATTGCTAGATAATTTTTGTGTGTAATATCCGGATCGGAACATTGTTTATGATCTGAGTCGCATTGTTGTGATGCTTCTGATGAAAATGTCTGATGATTCACCTGAAAAGAGCATTTTATCTTTGTCGCAAATCGCAATACACGGAATCATCAAAAACGTTCATCAGAAGCTTGATATGTCTTAATTGAAATTCACATTTTCTTTCGACGTCAGATTGATCGATTTTGTAAATCACTTCGGCATTGATGACACATAATTGGTTAATTTTCTTTGTGTAAATTGGCAGACCACACAATAACTTCAATAAGAAATGCAAATAATTTAGTTGCATTTCAAATATGGGCGACCGCTAAATCTGCAATCTACTGTAATTTCCGAATTTCCCATTTTCTCAATATCAAATTACACAACCAGATTATGATCTCCTTGTTCTTGTTTGGAACAAATTTCCTTACTTTTATTGGAGTTGTAAACTCATCAGAAAATCAGACAGACACTTCCCTGCTCCAAACCACACCCAGCACAGCAACCAACTGGGAAGCACCCTTGGATTCTAACTCATCCTCACAACTCGAGAACACATTTGGAGACCGAAGCAAAAGAAGGTGGACTGTCGAGATAGATAACGTGGAGCTGACAAAGGAGATCTGTTCGGACATCGGAACATTTTACTCAAATCCTGGAAGGTTCCAGGCTTACACTTTGGAGGTATTCGACCCTCTTGAAGTTTTGTGGGATGAAAACGAAACTGTAACTTTTCAGTGTAAGCTGGACACGAGATTACCTTCTGATTGTGAAGAACTCTTTAGATTGACCGTGAAAAACACTTTGCTTGTTACCAACGGGGTGTTTTATAAGGGAGACCTCTCTTCTCCATATCCTGATCCTCACAATAAAACCCAGCCACCGACAAAAACTTTTGATATCATTCTGCACTACGAATCACATGTTAACGCCAACTTATCGTGTGTCACACATCTGACGAACAACACAAGTTTGGTGTCTAACTATTACCAGATACCTAAAGTGGACCAATTATTTGAAGTTAATCTAACTCCAACATTCACCGAGGTCAAAGTTGGGACAAGCTATAATCTGACCTGTTCTCTTGGGAGTAAAAGAGCATTTAGATATCTAAGATGGACAAGAAAGACAGACTTTGAATCGGACGAGGAAGAAATAAAATGTGGGCCTGAAGTCCCGTGTATAAAAACTGAAGTGCCACCTAAATGGGTTATAACATTGACCACTCGTGAAACTGAGGATTTTGAGGAAGTTCATTATACCTACTACTGTGGGACAAGATACACGGGCCACGCTCATCAGCTCAGGTCGGAGGCGAGGGTTACTGTTCAGGTGAGAAGAAATAGTGTGTGCTTTTACATTAAATGTGTTAATAAAGTTCTATAAGTTAGCATCAATTCTAAACGTACATCGAAAAACTTAAATATAATTCAAAAGAGATTCCACACTCAGATAATAGATCGCAGCTGGATAACCACAGTTGGGGTGTTGGGAGGTACAGTGTTCGCGGCAACGCTTATACTGCTCCTTGTAGGGATTGTTATCAGAAGGAGACAACGGGTCAGACTCACTACGGTAAGTGAGAATAGTGGGTAAGTACGAGTAGTGGGTTAGTAAGAATAGTGGGTAAGTAAGAATAGTGGGTAAGTAAGATTAGTGGGTTAGTAAGAATAGTGGGTAAGTAAGAATATTGGGTAAGTAAGAATATTGGGTAAGTAAGAATAGTGGGTAAGTAAGATTAGTGGGTAAGTACGAGTAGTGGGTAAGTTTACCGGCTAACAATAAGATTTAGACGTGTAAAATTAGCTGTCAAAATGTCTCCAAGAGGGCCACGATGACTGCGGAGATTGTCTGAAGAGACGTACTCATTATTGAAAGAATTTCCAGAGAATCCTCTAACAATATTCTAACACGATGAGTCAGACGGGTCAAGAGTCTGTAAACAGATTCTCACATACAGTATAGCAGTGTGCCCGATTGTTACTTGTAGTACTGCAGTACAATTGTCCTTATACTGTGGTTCTTCTGAACTGTGTTTCTAACATTTGTTGTTCATGTTCAACACCACAAGAATACCGCTGAACTTTAAACCTGACCACTGGTGGGGAAATGAACAATATCTGGTATATCACGTGATAGTGATTCAGGATTTTGATTGGTCAATGCTTGAATCTGATTGGTTAACCCCTGTCACGTGTTCCCTACCAATATATCTGGATAAAATAAATCATACTATGAGTAGCTTGGTGAGCGTGCTCATCAAGTTCCTATTTACGTCAGTACACTTTTTCGTGTTCGCATATATTGCCTTGCTTTTATTTTAAAATGTTGATCATATTCGTGGATGAGAAACACGATATCAAGTGATGTCATCAAACGTAATTTCGAGCTGGTAGTGATATCGTGTTTTTTATTTCATACACTGGATTACTACTATCTCTAAACTTGGTTATAATTTTAGTAGATATATTGAATTTAATTCTGAATCTCTTGCACAAACTCATATTAACCCCATACATACCTAAATTTCTTCGATAATAATTGTTCCGAAATCAGACGTCCGTTGCTATACAATGCTATAATGGCAGTCAGAAATACTGGAACTTGCTGGCCTGGTTTTAATTTGGTTCGCGATTAGCAGGTATGGGGGTTGGTGTTAAACGGTTAAAGTTACCTTATAGATAATAATAGATCATGAAGGGGGGGGGGCTGGGGAGGAGCAACTTATTTGTTTGGACACGTGACAACGCGTACGATCCTGGGTTTTGATTGGTAAATGCTGGAATCTGATTGGTTATTCACTGCCACATGTTTAAAAACATGGCTCCCCAAGAGGATCAAGATTATTATTCCAGTTAACCATTGCATTTGTAATATCAAGTAGAAGTAAGACTGTTTAAGACTGTTTTTAACAATTGGAATTAACAGGAATGAAATGGTTATACTTTCTCTGGGCAGCATTGATAATTCTTTCAACAGCAGACACTGCACCGTTAAAGCCATTAACGCAGTCTTCGATCCTCCACACAGTACCTCCCAGAAAGAGCAATATCGCAAGAAGAAGTCCATCAAAGCGATCTCTAGTGAATCAGCTACCATCTGGTGACTCTTTAGAATATGTCCCAGTACCCAAAGGGAAATCCACACTCTCAAAAGTGTCCATTAGAAATTATTATCACCAAGTACAAAAAAGGTCCACTGACCAAGATGTACAAGATTTGTCTGCTGATAACTGTGCCGACGAAGAAGCCTTTCATTCAATAAGCGGAACATTTGAGGTGTATAAACTGACAGCATCAGCTGGTGTAGGCTGGGATGAAAACGAAAAAATAACGTTTACATGCAGAATAAGCTACAACGTAGACTATACTTGTGAAGAGAACAATCTCCTACAACCAACCATAGAAAACATTTCATTGGCCATCAACGGGGTCGTTCAGGTAGATGGGGACCGTTTATCTTCAAGATATGAAAGCGAAAATTCAAAAAAGTATTTTGATGTCACTCTGCACTACGAGTCCCATACAAACGCTAATCTTTCCTGTATAAACAACCTGACCGATAAAGCAACCTTGGTTTCCCAAGAACTGAAGGTAGAGAAAGTAGATGAACTTTATGAAGTTGACATCACTCCTTCAACCACCACCATCAAGGTAGGATCAAGCTACACTCTTACCTGTCTTCTCAGAACTCACAGAGCGATGGAGTACATTTGGTGGAGTAGACGCATGGAAGGAGGAGGAAGAGAAACAGAAATAAACTGCGATCAGGAGGATCAGGAGGAGTTCTCATGCTCAAACTCGACCGAACCAGCAATGTCCACGCTTATCGTAACTACACAAGAAACAGAGGAGTACAAGGAGGAGCGGTACTTCTACCACTGTAGAGCAGTCTCCACGGACCACTCCAACCAACCTAAAGCAGAGGCCAGGGTCACAGTGTTAGCTATAGACCGGACCTGGATAACAGTGCTAGGAGCACTGGGTGGGGTAGTGTTTGGGGGGACCTTCTTCGTGGTGATACTTCTTACGCTAATCAGGTGGAGACAGAGGAGAAAGAGCGCTCGGGTAAGTGGTTTTTACATTGTACATTTTACATTCTACATTGCACATTGTACATTGTACATTGTACATTCTACATTCTACATTGTACATTGTACATTCTACATTCTACATTCTACATTCTACATTCTACATTCTACATTCTACATTCTACATTCTACATTCTACATTCCTAAGATATTATTGATTGGGGGGACACTTATGGGTATTATTTGTATTTTTGGGTAATACACTTAAAATGTATTTACAATCAATATTAAATACCATTCAATATTAAATACCATACTGGTTTTCAGGACTGGCAGTCTGACCTATTGCCTTGCCAGCATAGGTGTACTTATATAGTTTTGCATGGTTTAGTTGCATAGTAGTGTCCGAATTGCACTGATTCTAGCCCGAGTAGTGTTCGAAAGGGCGCCCTGTTTTGACATACCTCCTGAGCCGGTACTCATTTCCTCTCTGAGCTAGCTAGTGTATATCAGTTTCTTGTTGGTGTTTTGTCTGTGTTTGTTTGTCCGTAGTAGGAATTTACTGTAACTTTGGAGACTGGGCGCAGTAATGTCCCAGAGGGTTTGTAACATCATGGATGCTGACTAAGCTTACCTGATCCTCTCCAACTTGTATTAGTACACTACTTTATTCACACCAGTCATTTCACTACATTAAACTGATTGAGGTTATGCCCTTTGTACATGCTGAAGCGATATGCTATGATGAGTGGAATATGAGTTAGGATCAGTTTGGTCCGTTTCATGGCAAAAACATTTATTGATTAAATACCATTTTATTAAAGCTCAAAGTAGGAAAACTTTTTTGCTGTTTCAAATGTGGTTATTTGGCTCAAGTGCTTGAATGGTAGGTGCGTTACGAATACATGGTGAGCGCTTTTTTTACGATTCTGGTAAGTGATTTTCTAACAATAACTGTAAGATATTTTGTCTCAGAATAACTGGTAAGTTTCAATTAATGTTTTGGTTATTTGTTTTAAGGCACAGTAATAAAAAAGGTCATAGTGCTGGGATAAGAAGTAATAGTTGTTGGACCCTACAGTAACAACTCTTGTAACCTAGTGATCTCCACAGTAACAACTCTTGTAACCTAGTGATCTCCACAGTAACAACTCTTGTAACCTAGTGATCTCCACAGTAACAACTCTTGTAACCTAGTGATCTCCACAGCAACAACTCTTGTAACCTAGTGATCTCCACAGTAACAACTCTTGTAACCTAGTGATCTCCACAGTAACAACTCTTGTAACCTAGTGATCTCCACAGTAACAACTCTTGTAATCTAGTGATCTCTACAGTAACAACTCTTGTAACCTAGTGATCTCCACAGTAACAACTCTTGTAACCTAGTGATCTCCACAGTAACAACTCTTGTAACCTAGTGATCTCCACAGTAACAACTCTTGTAACCTAGTGATCTCCACAGTAACAACTCTTGTAACCTAGTGATCTCCACAGTAACAACTCTTGTAACCTAGTGATCTCTACAGTAACAACTCTTGTAACCTAGTGATCTCCACAGTAACAACTCTTGTAATCTAGTGATCTCCACAGTAACAACTCTTGTAACCTAGTGATCTCCACAGTAACAACTCTTGTAACCTAGTGATCTCCACAGTAACAACTCTTGTAACCTAGTGATCTCCACAGTAACAACTCTTGTAACCTAGTGATCTCCACAGTAACAACTCTTGTAACCTAGTGATCTCCACAGTAACAACTCTTGTAACCTAGTGATCTCCACAGTAACAACTCTTGTAACCTAGTGATCTCCACAGTAACAACTCTTATAACTAGTGATCTCCACAGTAACAACTCTTGTAACCTAGTGATCTCCACAGTAACAACTCTTGTAATCTAGTGATCTCCACAGTAACAACTCTTGTAACCTAGTGATCTCCACAGTAACAATTCTTGTAACCTAGTGATCTCCACAGTAACAACTCTTATAACTAGTGATCTCCACAGTAACAACTCTTGTAACCTAGTGATCTCCACAGTAACAACTCTTGTAACCTAATGATCTCCACAGTAACAACTCTTGTAACCTAGTGATCTCCACAGTAACAACTCTTGTAACCTAGTGATCTCCACAGTAACAATTCTTGTAACCTAGTGATCTCCACAGTAACAACTCTTATAACTAGTGATCTCCACAGTAACAACTCTTGTAACCTAGTGATCTCCACAGTAACAACTCTTGTAACCTAGTGATCTCCACAGTAACAACTCTTGTAACCTAGTGATCTCCACAGTAACAACTCTTGTAACCTAGTGATCTCCACAGTAACAACTCTTGTAACCTAGTGATCTCTACAGTAACAACTCTTGTAACCTAGTGATCTCCACAGTAACAACTCTTATAACCTAATGATCTCCACTGTTTGTAGTCTACACAGACACAGCTGAGCTAGGGGCCTTCATTTTACTTCTTGCATGTATAAGCAATTATCAGGATGGGTTACTTGCTCGGACACTAGTCAACATCAATCTTCTCATCTTCTCATCTGGATCTGAGCATTCAGTCTCAGATTCCCCCACACTACACAATTACACCCAATTAGCTGGTGTATGGTAATTACAGTATCACGATTAATGCAGCTAGAAGTAGCCAGGTGACATTGTTAAAGCCACAGATCTGTTGATTGAGTAGCAGATCTGGCGATCTGGTAGTTGTTAACGTTATCACATGCAGGTACATTTCTGATTTCTGAATTGTATGGATTTTCCTTTCGCAGTATACATTTTTTCGACGATTATAACATCCGACCGAATAGAGCCAAAATTCTATCAAAGTGTTGTATTTCTGGTTTTGAGTTTTATATTTATTGTTGATTCATCAAGATCTTATTTGAATACAGCCGGATTTTAGTTGTAAGAGCCGTTCTAACATCGACAATTCATATTTTCGATATCTATTATCGATATAAGCGGCGTGTACAAACCCTGTTTCGTTTCGTTTGTTCATAGATCATATTTTCAAAAAAACACATCGGGACGTCCGCGAATTTTCTCGATGTAATCCGACTTATCCGACTATATAAGACCCTAATTTCTCGGAATCACGCCTTTTTTGACCGCACCCATATCGCGACCCCACTATAGATTATCTCAGTTTCTGATTGAGATACAGACCTCAAGCATGAACCAAAATGTGCCTAAGATGCATGTTTTTAGTAGTGCTATGAACATACTTAAGGCTTAAGAGACTTAGTTTTTGAGTAATTGCCAAAAATCCGATTTTACTATACTATTACTAGCAGTCTCGCGAGTAACAATTATCACACTTATTTCAAGATATCTCAGCTTCTGGTTGGAGTTAAGCGCTCATCTTGGGCATTAAAATGGTCGAAAGCATCACATTGAGTGGGGTGTAACATGGTTTCAAAGTCTTCAGACTTCAGGTTGTTGAGTTATTAGGTCAGACCTCATTTTTACGTTTTTGCGAGTAGCGATTGACACACTTATTAAAAGATATCTCAGCTTCTTATTGGAGATAAGCGTTCATTATGGGCATAAAAATGGTAAGAATGATCAGATTAAGGGGGTCGCGATATGGGTGCGGTCAAAAAGGGCGTGATTCCGAGAAATGCCCCACTGGTGAAAAAGTATACCCGAGTAAATAGTGTTATTTAGGGTCATTTAAGTCCCAATGTGTGCGGGACTTAAATGCCAGATACACGATTACTGGTCAATGGCATTCAAATCCTGGGATATTTCATTTATTCTAGAATATACAGAATAGAAGCAATCTTCAATATATGTGTTATGCACCCACTTCATGCTGTTATGCCATCAGGGTTCACAACACAAAGGTTCCGGAATGTAATGGAATTCTCCAGAAATGGAAACACAATGGAAGATGACTACCATTCCTGTAATATTGATTCTTTTTGTTGGGTCATTAACCGCAAAAGTTGATGGAGAGGAAATTATTAGGTATTCTGTCGCTCCAGAAAAATTAGGCGTGACCATCGGTCGATCATTCGTTTTAACCTGTGGAACAAGTACAAATGGAGGCCTTGAAGCACTTCAATGGTACTTAAAAAAGAATGATGACGAGTTCAAGCGAGAGTTGAAGCGAGATGGAAGCACAGATCTAACTGGAATTGGATATCATGTGAACAAATCTGTCAGCAGTCTACATTCAGTGCTAAATGTGACAACAGAAGGGGACAAGACATTTAAAACTAGCATTCATTACACGTTCTATTGCTCACAGAGCTTTAACTTCACGAATAATGATGAAGCTAAAGTGATTGTGAGCCCAGTTGATTATAGTCTCAGGGATGGAGGAATAGGAATAGGGGTGGCACTTCTCGTCCTCACTGTCGTCCTCATTGCTGTTTTCTTGTGGAGGAGACGAAGACTCAGATCATCTCTAGCTGTGGTAAGTTCAGAAAATGATTGACTTGCTGTGGTGAGTAAAGAGATCTTCCAGATTGTCTGTATCCGTAGTCAGACTAAGTTAAATTACTTAATTATTAGGTAGGTGATAATAGTGGGTAATTAATTAATCATTAGGTAGGTGATAATAGTGGGTATGAAAAGGTTTGTGACAACCTTTTTTTAATAATTTTCAGTTTTATTCAAGCTCCGTCTGGTAGCATTTCGTTTTGGATAACATTTCGACGCCTGACAAGACGGAACTCACTTCCATTTAAAGCCATCTTTCAGTTTTACCCGATTGCTTTCTTCCCCACGGGGGGCTTCGACTCTTGGATTTTTTCCAATAGTTTGAAAGTTCCTAAATATTCATTTCCTTTCCTAGCAAGACCAGCATTGATCGTTCGGGTTGTACAAGACAGGGATCTCCACTTTCTAATATTACCGTGAGGAGCACATACTGTTCATGACCAGCGCTGTTACCCTCCAATCGTATCACTGCCAAATTCCAAAGAACATCCTTTATGATGCTGCTCTGTACGTCAAAGATATTTTTACAGCATAAAAAGGTTACAGGGGAGTAGGAATATGTTATATTTTGAGCAATTAATG